ACCCAGCTCAGCTTAGGACACCACGGAGGGAGCCAAGAGAAAAGTGGCACTGGTCTCCAAATTTCAGATGTGCATTTAGAACTATAACCCTCAAAGCTAGTGGGTTTTAAGGCTGTACTTGGTGACTACTCTTCCCTCTCATCTTTTGCCCTGAAATGAGAACAATTTCTGCTCACCAGGCCTGGTAGGGCAGTTTCTAGAGGGTGACAGATTCCCCTTTTTACCCCAAAGTGGGACCCCCTCAGGTACCTTATGAAATGTCGCCATCCCACTACCTGTCCATCACCCTTGACAAAATGAGGATATGATGCGAATGGATGGATATCTGGTGAGTGCCTTCTGCAAGCTAGACACCACCTCTCTCTCGCAGGAAGACGCAGACTCTATCTGCTCCCACCCTCCTGGCAAGCCTGGGACTTAAGGGTTTTTTCTCTCCTGGTCATAGGTGACGTGAGGGCTTGGAGAGGTTAAGTACTGGCTCCGTGTCCCACAGACAGCACGAGGAGGCCCTGCCGAGATGCCGACCTCGGGAACGTCTGCCCCAGTTAGCACCTATTGACTTCCTGGCTCGGGCAGCATCTGGCACAGAGATCGGATTCAGTAGCTGCCTGGTTGGTTTGGTATTTTTGCCAATTCCCCATCGACCACTCCACATCTGACCGCATCGCCTGTGCAGTGGGTAATGGGATTTGATGGTTAAGGTGACCCCTGCTCAGCCAAGCCACAGCCTATCAGTTCCCATTCCGAGCACAAACTGTCTTCCAGCTCAGCCGAGGGGGGTGGGGTGGGGGCCAACATTGAACTCCCGTGTTTGGACATGGGGCTGCGTGGTCAGGGCTGCTGGGGCTGGAGGCCTGCCCCCCTCCAGGCCGGGGGGCTCCTCTTGAAACCTTGACATCCAATATCCAGGTGCTTTCTCCTGGGAAGCCAGGAGGGAGTGGGCAGGGTGGTAGGACCACACATGAGAAAGGGAATTTGGGGTCTGCTGCTTCCTGGCTGAGAATATTCCAATCTGTCCCTTCCCCTGACTTAAACCCTACTCATCCTTAGGGGCCTGAGGACCCCTCCTTCTGGAAAATACCTCATTTCTCTACCTACCAGAACACCTGCTTTGTGTTCTACACATTCTGGAACTACAAAATCTATGAGCTTCAGAGAACACAGTCGATCTCCTAGCCAACTCTGGAATTCCTTCCCCATCATCCCTCTAGTGTCCATCCTCCGCTAGCCTCTGTACTTCTCAAAGCAGCCCATTCCTTGATGAGACCGCTCGGAAGCACTGGGACATTTACTCTCTTTGAACAGAAATATGTCTCTGGTGGCCCATCACTGAGACCTACCCTCTGGATTTGGTCCATTGGCAGCCGCCAGATCTTTAGAGAAAACTCTTAGGGCCACTCTGGGTCTTCTCTTTCCCAAACAAAACCGGAAGAACCTCAGCAAAACCCAAGAAGTGTGCTTCCTAGAGGCTGTGCCTTCGGAGGACGGTGCCAAATGAGGCCATCTGCAGGTGCATTGGGGCACATCTAGTCAAAAGGTTTAAATGACATCATTTTAACAATTCTCAGAACACTGGGATAGTCCCATTAGCACTGAAAAAATTACCAAGTTTCATTAAAAGGAAAAATCAAACTTAGGAATATACAAATTTGCCAATTGCAGTTTAAAAACCTCTTTCTTGCTAACGGCTTACATCTGCTGGGTTGGAGGCTTGTCAGAGGAGGGAGCTCGTGCAGACAGGCAGTGGTCTGATCCGCAGCTCAGGCGGCCATCTATGTGAAGACCCCCGCAGAGCTACCCAGAGGCCAGGCAGGATCGGTGCGGGACATGCCTCTTGGCCTTCTGGGGAGAAGCTAGTGTGAAAGCAACACGGCTTTCCGTGGGAGTGGGAGGGGGTGTCGTGGAGGCCCTGCTGCCGGCTGCCAGCTACCCGCTCTTCTGCACGGTGGGCGCTGCTGGTAAGCTCCGTCCCCCTCGGGGAGGGAGTCATCCTTGGCCCCGTGTTATACATGAAGGACTGAGGACAGCTGGCCAGGGCCTCCAGAACTGGCAGAAAATGTCCCTGTCCCCTGCCCGCACCGCACCCTCCTGATGACAAAGGCATCCTTTCAATTTAACCAAGAAGGGGTAATCCCTGCCCCCACCCACTCCTCAGGGACTCGAGAGGAAGCTCTTTGAAGAAAGGTACCAAGTATGGTGGCATCATTCTTCTTACTGAGAGTCAAAATAATCGTCTTAGCAGCCACTGATTTTCCTGGGGCCCCACCGTCTCTCAGAAGGAGTCCCTCAACCCGGCCCTGGCCTAGTAGGGCCTGCCGCCCCTTGGGCCGACCTGTGCCCTCTGCTGGTGAAAATGAGTCCGATTGTTCAGGAGCATTTCTGGGTGGTGGTGAAACGTCACAGGAGGAAGCCGATTTAACACTCAGCTCCATTGTCCTGAGTGCCCACTTTCTTTACTCGTCTCTATCCTCAAATGCCACCCCCAGCCCACCTTGGAGAAAGAGGGAGCAGCGGCACAGAGCCTGATGATCCCGCACCTGCCCCAGCGGAGCCCCCCTCCCCCCAGCCCCAGTGAAGCAAGGGCAGGGGGCTGCCAAGGCTGGGCCCCCAACACGGGCGAGTGAGCACTGCAGGGGGGCGGGCAGGAGCTGTAAGCACCTAATGGTCTGGAGCCCTGGTGCCCAAGCTTGAGTGTAAATCACAGCAGATTGAGCTGCTTGAGAAAAATACACATTTCAGGGCCCCTTGCCCTTTCTTTGTCGATGAACTTCCTCTCTTCCCCTGGGATTTTGCTCGGTTGTGGCCTCTGGGTCACATCATCTCAGTGCCCCCAGAAAGAGCTGTTCTGTTCATCTTGCCCCCAGGTGGTCATCTCTGCAGCCACATGCCTAGCAGTTTATGCTTTTTAGAGGAGAATTTTGGAATGGTCACCATGTGCCAAGGTCTATGCAAAGAGCTTTATCTATATTACCTCACATAATCCTTGCAACCGTTTCTATTGCCATTTACAAACGAGGAGACTGAAGCTTACAGAGTCTAAAGTAGCCCAACATCATATAGAAAATACAGGGTGGGGGTTCAAACCCAGGTCTGTGGGATTTCTGGACCTACACATCTAACCACTACCCCATTCAGCAAGGATCACTGGAGGGCAGCAAATGTTTGGGGAAGGAATAAATGGTACAAACATATGAGGGAGGGAGGGCTATACCTGTATGACCTGAATGACCAGCCACATGTTAGCCTTGATCCACTGGTGATTGTAGGGACATATTAAGGACAGAGACTAGCATGCTCTGGTTCTAGGACAGAGCGCAAAGGCCCTGAGTTTGCCCTGAGTTTGTGAGCCTGTGGAGGTGAGAGGGAAGTAAAACTTGAAGGTGGTGCTGCTTAGAACACAGGCTCCAGCCTCGGCTCTGGAGAATGACCTTCTGGAGAGCAGGGCCTATTTTGTGTTCTCTCCTCCCTTCCTCCCTTCCTCCCTCCCTTCCTCCCTTCCTCCCTTCCTCCCTTCCTTCCTCCCTTCCTCCCTTCCTTCCTTCCTTCCTTCCTTCCTTCCTTCCTTCCTTCCTT